ATGGAACTGCCATTTGACCCAGTGATTCCACTTCTTAGAATTTTGTGATTTTGCAATTCCTACTGTGGCTACGAAAGAGAATGTCTCTGTCTCTGGGAAATTCATACCCAATTAGTTATGGCTGGAGGACACGTATCTCTGGGACTCAGGTGAGTCAGAAGAAGACCAATATGCAAATATACATAATACATACAGAGGTAAGGATGAAGCAAATGGGGCAAAATAGAAACAAATTAGGGAATCTGGATAAACGGTATATAGGAGTGCTTTGAGTACTTCAACTTTTCTGCAAATTTGAAATATCTAAATACAAAGTTGCAAATGAATACACACGAAAATCCGGGCATATGATCATTTTTCTTCTTTCCTGCTTTCCACATTTTCTTTAATGACTGCATATTTTTATAATGAAAAATTAGTAAATGCACATCATATTTAAAAAAAAAAAAACAAAAAACCTCTGTGAGGCTCTGGCCGGTTTGGCTCAGCGGTTGGAGCGTCGGCCTGTGGTCCAGAGAGACCCGGGTTCGGTTCCCGCTAAGGGCACGCACCTCGGTTGCAGTTTGTCCCCAGCCCTGGTTGGGTCATGTGGGTGGCAGCCACTCGATGTGTCCCTTTCACATCGATGTTCCTCTCTCTCTCTCTCTCTCTCCCACTCTATCTGAACAAAATATCAAAAAATGTCCTTGGGCGAGGATAAAAAAACAAACAAACATTGATGAGAGAGAACATCGATTGGCCACCTCCTGCATGCCCCCCACTGGGGATCAGGTCCACAACCTGGGCATGTGCCCTGACCCAGAATCGAACCGATGACCTCTTGGTGCATGGGTCGACGCTCAACCACTGAGCCACACCAGCTGGGCTATTAATATTTAGAGATTAACATTTCATTCTTTTTTTTTAATCTTCATTCGAGGACATTTTTCCATTTTTTGTTCAGGTAGAGTGGGAGGGAGAGAGAAGAAGAGAGAGAGAGAGAAACATCGACGTGAAAGGGACACATCGAGTGTCTGCCACCCACACGACCAACCAGGGCCGGGGGGGACAAACCACAACCGAGGTACGTGCCCCTAGCGGGAACGGAACCCGGGTCTCTCTGGACTGCAGGCCGACGCTCCAACCACTGAGCCAAACCGGCCAGGGCTAACATTTCATACCATTTTTTTTTTCATGTTCAGTGCACTCATCCAGCCAATGTTATTGAATCATATCATGAAATATATTTTCCAATTACCATCAGTCTTCACCTTATTTCTTTTTATGAAGTGTTTAATATGTTCTACTTCCTGTTAAACATATCCTTATTCAACTCTTTGATGAAAATTAATTGGTACCTAGTTTTTCAAAATTCTTTTATTTTTTTATTAATTTTAATTTTTCAAATATTTTAATGAGTTTTAGAAAGAGAGAGAGGGAGAGAGAGAAAGATAGATGTGAGAATAAAACATCAATTGGCTACCTCCTGCATGCCCCCCACCAGGGATCAAGCCTGAACCCAAGTATGTCCCCTGACCCGGAACCCAACCAGCAACCCTTTGGTGCACAGAATGACACTCAACCAACTGAGCCACACCAGCCAGGGCCAAATTTCCTTTAGGGGGTCTGCAAGCAAAGGTCATGTGCAGCCCACTAGAATAGGACACGTGATAGTGAGTCTGACAGTCAGCACTGGGGAGACCCTGGGAGAGTAATGGGGTGCTCTGGCAAACAGAGGCAGTCCAGTGGGTCAGAAATCCAAGCCAGCTCGCCCTTCATGGGGTGCAGGAGCCAGCTTCCAGGTCCAGGTGAAGGAAGATAGCTCCTGGGTGGAACTGGGAGGCGATCTACACCCCAGAGGGTCTTGGGTCCAGAGAGTGGGACAGGGATGTAGGTGGGGCCTGTCAGGAATAGGCCCATGGTGAAGGTAGGACTAGCAGAAGGACGAGCTGATGCTCATCACCGTGTGCTGGCCCAGCTGGGTTTCTTCAGGTCGAAAGGAACCAGTTCTATTCGATCCAAGTCAAGAACCTCTGCCCTAGAGTCTGGGGCTGGCTGAGTGTTCAGGTGGGCACAGATGGGCACCAGAAGACTCAAAAGGCTGAGAACCAGGCAGGACAAGGCAGGGTCTAATCATCAATAGCAAGCCTAGCGGTCACCCTCCTTGCTGTGCATAGAACTCTCCAAGTAGGAATAACATGCCCATTTTAAAGAAGCAGACATCGAGGCCTGTGCTGCCCAAGGCCACTATGGAACTGAATTCTGATTCCAAAACACTGAGGCTTTTTCTAGCAAACTGAGCAGCTGTGGGTTCCTCATTCTATTCCTGCTCAATACATTTTGGGCCCAGCGCATACCCCTAAGCGCATGATGTATTCCTGAGTCACAGAGGTGCCTTTAACATCAGAGATTCCATCAGATACCATCTCCGCTCTGGAGCAGTGTGTGCTGGGAAGCCAGGGAAGATGCTGAGAAATCTTCCGGGCAGCCTGGGAAGCCGGGCCTGCTGCTCCGGAGAACACAGGGAGCACGAGAGATCCCAACATGAACGGTCATCATCCCTCAGCGTGGAAGGTCCCACTCCGGAGGCTCTGGTTCCTCCCCTCCTTCCCCCACACCCGGGGGGGGGGTTGCTCTCTAAAAGCAATTTACAGACCCCTCTCTCCAGATTCTAAAGCAAGAGACGCCAGTCCTGTGTTAGAGAGACCTTGGCTCCCATGATTCTTGATGATGTGTGTGGTCTGTAAACCATGGTTCTCAAAGTAGGGCCCCAGGACCAGCAGCAGCAGCAGCAGCAGCAGCAGCAGCAGCACCTGGGAACTTGTTAGACATGCAGATTCTCAGGCCCCACTCTGGCAAATCGGCTGCACACTCCTTTGGAAACCACTTTGCCTTGGAAACCCATGTCCTTATTCATCAAATCTGCATTATCAGTGTTCTTCGGCCAGGGTTGTTTTGAGGTATCAGTGAGATAGTGCTGGATTCTTGGAGTTCCTGGTACGCAGGGTAAATGTCACTGTTATCTTACCAGTCACCACTTTGGTAGCACAAGCTGTTTCTCAAGAACGGAGGAATCTTCTGGCATGTTCCCTACTTGTTTCTTTCTTCCCCTCTGGGCTGGTCTCAGGTTTCCGAACCCCACTCCATTCACCTACCCCGAGCCACCCAGGTACGCCCTGGCTCCAACCCTGTGCCCAGCCCAGCATTCCCTTTCCCAACTCTGCCCAGTTACTCCAACCAACAGCACCCCGACCCTGTCCATTGACTCCCTGGTCCTGGCCCCTCTTCCCATGCCCGGGATGGCTTCCAAGGGGATGCAACTCCGTTACCTCCTCCTTCTCCATCCTCTACCGCAAGGTCAGGTGGCCAATCCGGTAGCATCTAGACACATCCCTGGGTGGGGAGCAGAGACCTGGGGCAGGGGTGGGGGGGCATCTCCTTCAACAATAAACTGGCTCCAAGCACCCTCTAAATTAGCTGCATTAACCCATCTCCTACCTAGGTGTCATTTCATCTCTATTTCCAAGTGAAGGTGGTCTTTTTGTTCCCTTAACTTAGGCGTGGATTTGCAACCCTTCTCCATCTAGCAGGCTCTACAGGCAGTACCTGCACCACTCAGCCTGGGTAAGGAACATCGCCGACGATGCAGTAATAATGAGAAAATGTAGCAGCAAGATGGGCATCAGTTCAGCCGATCCTCTCTATCCTGTTTTCTGTCCATTTCCAATGTAGTTTCTCTAGTGGCCCCCGAGTCTTGTGACCCTTCCTCTCCTGACTTCAGGCACCAGATCCAGGTCCAGGCATCACCTGGGAGGTCTTAGGAAATGTAGAACCCCCCTCCCCCAGGCCCCCAGAGGCTGCACCTGCATTGAATCAACACTAGGGATCCTGGTGGACACATTTCTCCAGGGACACTGGCTTAAACTATGAATTCCCAAAGGGTCTGGTTAGTAAGTAGGGGTGGGACCCAGGAATCTAAGCTTTTATAGCAGTCTCCCCTTGTGATTTTTATGATAAAGCAAATTTGGCTATGTACGTCCAGGATAAGGATCTGAAAACATCCAGGTTTCTCCCCAGCATGGAGCTTTAGGGCATTCGTTTTCAGGTATTTTTGTCGAATGATACTGGTGGCATCAGGGAGTGGAGCAGGGGCCACCACCCCAACTCCTCTCCTTGAAATAAAACTTTAAAAATTCCAAAGAAAATAAAGTAAACACTCGAAGTTAGCTTCCTGTACCTGAGATCAGGGTAAGGCTGCTTAAACCAGTCGAGTGGGGATTATGGGCCAAACTCCAAGAGTCAAGAGAAGGAGCTGCGGCAGGAAGGGGACACAGGTCTGGTGTGTGGCAGGCGTCTTCCCACCGTGTGCGTGCGCGGGGCCCAGCATCACGGCGCAGCGTCCGAAGTCAGAAGGGCCATCTCCAGTTCAGCCTCTTCTCCCTGCTCCTCCCGAAACTGCCAAAGCCACCGCTCTGCCAAGCTCCCCGCCAGCTCTCAGACAGCACCCCCTCCGCCCCCAGGAGCCCACCCTCTCCTGTGCTGAACAAGGCTGCAATTCACCAGCGCCAGCCTCTGGCCCACCCAGATGAGGACGGCCACTTTTTTTTAAGCCATCAAATTCAATATTTACAAGAACAATCCCATGCTTGGTTCTAAAATTACTGGCCACACAAGGAACCGTTTACTTCTGTTAAGAAAAACCTAGGCTTGTGCCTTGCGCTTAAGCAACAGAATCAAGTTAAACTTAAAAATAAAAGAAAAGAAATCGCTTAGGGCATGCGCCCCCTTTCCCTCGGGTTGGGGAGCAGAGTAAAAGCCAGTTTGGCCGGGGCTGGGGCCCCCACAGCCGCGGCCCTGTAACTTTAAACCTGGCCTGAGGTCATCGTTTTAGTGCTGGCCAAACAGCGCCCGAGGGCGGTCCTAGCAGCCCAGACGGAGCCCACCTTACCGGGGCGCTCCCGCCCTCCCCGGGGGAGATAAATGCTGACTCCGCTCCCAAAGTTCCCAGATGCAAAGTTTGCTCCCTGCCGGCTGCGGGCGGAGGAAGCTTGGGGACCCCTCCCGCGCTGGGACTTCTGCTCCCCGCATTCCAGTCCCCCCGTTCGCGCTCCGCCGGCGAGGGCCTGTGGCTGCAGGAGCGGTTAACTCTTCCCCGGCACAGGAACTAGCTGCTCGGCCCCAGGGAGCACCAGCCGACCGAGAGGATGTGGAAGGTGCCGGTGCTGCTGCTGGTACTGGGAAGAGCGTCCTTCTGGTTTCCCGCAGAAGGAGGTAAGAGCCAGCGGCAGCGGCTCCCGCAACTGCCGGTGGGCACGCGCGGCCGGGACTTGTTGGAATGCCTGGGCCTGGCATTGGAGGTTGCCCAGGAGAGGAGAGGGGAGCCGGGACTGTGTGCATGCGAGGCCGGAGGACCCGGGAGAAGGGGAGGCAGCGCTTAGCTGGTGCCACGTCCCAAAGAAAGAGCTGAATGGGGCTGGAGGAGGCGCCCCCGAATCCACAGGCAGCAAAAGTAAGGAAAAGAGACGGTCTCCTTAACAGCCAGCCCACCTCCTGTCATGCCCTGGTCAGCCCAACTCACAAGAGACAGGGTGACCGGATGACAGCAAGGAGCCTTCCTTTGCCAGGACTGGGCTTTCCTAGGGGCTGTAGATTGGGGGAATGCCCATGGCCTCCCCCAGGAGAGACTGGACCCATGGGATGGGGAGGAGTGCTGGGGGGAGGGGGAGTGCTCCCATGCAGAGATGGGCTCCCACCCTGCGGTCCTGTGCCCTCCACACACTCAGGACCCCATCGAAGGGCGTGGGCTGGAAGAGGCCCATCCTCTGTGTGGAGGACAATGCATGGCAAGGACAGAGTGGAGGGCTCCTGGGCAGGGGGAGGGAATGGAGGTTGACTATGAAACTGAGATTTAAGCTGGTTTGGGACCCCACGTTGAACTTGGCAAACAATGCCAATGACCACATGAGCGCTGGTGACTCCTGGGACTTCAGATATGTTAGGTCTGATGATGGGGGCACTGCTGCCTGGTCATCCACATCTCTCCATCCCTTCTCCCTCTTCCTACTCCGCCTCCTCTTCTCATCCCCTTCTTTCTGTGACTGGACATTGGTCAGATTTTATTTCTCTTCTTGGGTTTTTATTATCTGTTTCCCCCAAAGAATGTAAGCTCCCAAGGACACAGCTGTGTCTTAGCCCTGATCCCCAAGGCCTACACAATGTCCGGCGCACAGTAGTTGCTCGCTAAATATTGGCAGAAGGAATTGTAATCTAACTAGTGATCTTTGGAGCTGGAGGTTGCTGAGCTGTGCTCTGAAAGATAAAGCAGTCCCAGCGCCTGAGGAGTCCTTGGAGGGCGTGGCCTGAGGGAGGAATGGACCTAACCTAGGCTTCCTAATTCCTTGCAAACAAAAATACCCAGCCCTGGGGGAATAATGGGGGCGGTGCTGTCTGCTTCTGAAAGATGGAGCAACTCTCTCTGCAGGCCCCGGGGCTATTCACGGTGGGCCTATCTTTGGAACGTCACTTTTCACTGATGCACACAACTCTGCATTGCAGTTACCTTTCCTTTTTGGAGAGAGAGACTGTGCAGATGACACCATTTTGTGCTCACCAGGGCCAGGTGTAGGAGGTCCCCAAACTGAGCCACATCCCAGTCCTGCTCAGGGAAGGCTGCAGCTGGCGGCATCCCCTGTTTGCTCCTGGGGAAAGGGGAGCCTTCATTATCTGGAAGCCAGGACCTGGGTGTCAAAGGTACACCTGAGGGTGGCAGTAAACCTTGTCTGAAAAAACAGCCTCGGAAGGCTAAAGACGGAGCCCCTGTGGGTGGGGGACGGCTGTGTGAAGACTGATCTGCTGGAGCTGGCCCCAGGGGTTTTGTCTGAGGATAAGGAGTGAGGCGACTTGCATATGGATGAATAACTTCATTGACTTGAGCTATTGTTGGCTGTTGTTGGGGAGTGGGGCCCTGGTAATTATGGTGATGCATTTTATTATCCTTCTCCTAGGGTCTTGCTCCCTGCTGGGCCTCCCTCATCTAGTGTTATAATCCGGTCCAGTTTTATGATCTGGCCCCATGTGTTGTCTCTGTGGACGTTAGTGAGTTCAAAGGCCCTCCGTTGTCCACACATCTGGCATTTTTCTCAATTGCCAGCCCCACCCTCCCCCTGCAATTTCATCCACAGCACGGACTTCAGGGCCTCTCCGTTAGTCAGCTCGTTTATTGGGAGAAATTCTGCAGCAAACCCATGTGCTTTTCCGGGACTGGTCCACCAGGATTAATCATGTGGCAAATTTCCCCGTGATTTCCCCAAAACCCTTGCCAGCTTTGGAGGCCCTGAACGCCTCATGGGTCGCCACGGGTTTTGTAGCACCGAGGGCACGGTCAAGCATTTTGCAGAGGTCGGGTCTGTCGGAGCTTCGCTAGGGAGGCCTGTCCGTTAGCCTTGGTGTATGAGATCCCAAATAGCATTTGATATAGAAAAGCATGTTTTCGAAAGGGATCCCCGCATAAGCAGGCTAAGGCAGGACAGACGCAGAGGGAGGAACCCTGGCTGAGCAGAGGTGTGCAGCGCCTTCTCTTTCACTGGCCTCTGAAATCAGTGGCCCGTGAGTCACTCTATACCAGAGAATTACAAAGACCCCAAACCTTGGCGCCACGGTGGGTGGCTTGGCCAAGTGGAAAGAACACCAGCTCTCGCCCATTCCCATTCTGCACCATGTTCTGAGAATGTCATTTATCTCATTTAATCATCACAACTCCTTCCATTACATACTGTCTTCCTCTCCAGAATGTGCCGCAGCTGGGATTCAGAAGTGGGTTTCACTCCCCATCCCAAGCTCCTTTTGCTACATGACATTGCCCCCTCCCAAGAAGAACCCCACATAGAAACAAAAGTTGAACTTGCAGCTAAAGACTAGCCTCAGTCTAAGTGCCTTAAACATGGAAACAACAAATGTAAGAGGAATACGAAGGCCTTCACACTAAAGACTCACTGTGATATTCCTTTAAGAATGAAGGTGTCACAGGACGTGACAGTGGGATGTAGTAGTTCGTCCCCCAGATGGCAAGTGAGCGCGTCTGGAATGCCTGGCACGGTGCTAGTGCAGACGCCTGTGCACACCTAACGTTTTAAAGTGCCCTCTGTACACTTCACCAGCACAGTCCCGGACCTGCGCTTTTTAAATTCCACGGGCTTATCTGAATATTTGTCATATTTCTGGCTTCTAAGAATAGGCGTGCCAGGTTAGGCCTTGTGGAAATATTATAGGGGAGGACAGAGAGAGAGAAGACTTGGATACTTAGCACTATCCTTGTGACACTCACTTGAGAAATCTGAATAAGATCCCGCCACCCAGACACCGAATGATCGGGGAGAAGCGGGGCGAGGCGGGTGGGGCAGGTACTTCTCAAGCCAAGTAAACAGCTGCCGAGATAAGTCTTAGGATCCCATGGGGATGAGCAAATGATAAAGCAGCTCTCGATGGCACGTTTGAATCCTTGCCCTACGGATGCCTGAAAACTTTGGGAAGGGAAAGTGATCAGGCATTTTATCCAAGGGTTGGGAGAGGGAGCCCGGATAGGGAACAACAGGAATGGTGTGCCAGGTTCGTCCAAGGCAGGAAGATGAGGAGGGAGCTCACTTCCCGTGTCTCTCCCACCAGCCTGCTCACGGAGGGCCAGGAGGGCCAGCCCGGGGAGCATTCCCTTGAGCTTTGACATCCGGGGTGGGCAGGCTGTCCTTTTTTTCTGGCCCAGTGCCTTTACGCTGGAGGAGATAAGTTTATCCTTCGATACCCTCTGAGGGCAGGCCAGCGGGAGTCACGCTAGGTCCAGCAGGAAACGTGCAGACCGGCCACCTCATTCACCTCGCTGTCTGAGGCCCCGCAAGCTGAAATTGTTAGCGCAACACTGAATTTCATGCACGGGGTTTCGGGGCGGGGGTGGCAAACAACAAACCAACCAAAAGGATAACCACCTTTCCGGAGGAAGATGTGCTCCTGACCCCTGTGCAGAGGGCCAGGGCTGCAAGAGGTAGAGAGAGAATGTGACAGGGGTAATAATCGTCACTGTGACTTTTGTAGCATGCCGGGGAATGCCAGTTACATAGAAAATGAATGGGAAGCGGGGCAGGGGGCCTGCTAGAATATGTGTAAACATGTGACTGATGAGCACAGAGAATTTCCTGTAATTCATCTAAGTGTCTCCATCCGGGAGAATAAAACACCACTAATCTAAGCAGTTCTGTGACCCAATGAGTGGTATCCTGCCAGAGGTTTGATGATGTCAAACGTTTCTTTCCCAAGAAATTCATTTTCTTAACAAATATTTCTTGAGAAACTACTCTGCGAGTCAGGCAAGGTGACATTACACCTGCTGGCAATTAGTAGGCAAGAAGTCGTGCCCCTTGGCCGCGGAGATTCCGATCTCAGCGACGGTGATTCTGTGATGAATCAGAGTTGCCTGTTCTGTTACCGTCGGGAAATGATTCCACTCAACGGCCTCCCCCTTCTCCTGTGTCCACATACACCACATACCGTCTCAGGTATTTCACTCTGGAAAAGGACATGCCTTGTATGACGTATTGGAAACTGTTTCTGTTCTAAATACATTTCTTCGTTTCCTGGCCTCTCATGAGTTTGGGTGATAGGAAATATTTTCATCTGGATAGCCCCCTAATAAGATTACATTTCTGAGTCTGGAAAGCCAAGGGAACTCGATTCTGGGCAGATGGTGTTAATAGCAGGAACTGTAATAACAGCTGACATTTACTTAGCATGTGTCCGGCTCTTGCCACGCCCTGCTTCACTTAACCAGACCTGCAAGGTAGCAACTAGTTACATTGTATAGATAAGTAAAGAGGCTCAGAGAGGGTTAGTCACTTACACACAGACACAGTGCCAGCACATGGCAACCGTGAAACGGATTTAGGCAGCCCCGCCCCTCTCCTGCCCAGCCCATGCCTCTAACCATTGAGCACAACAGCCAGCTATGCTTAGGGTCAAAGTAGTCCAGGACACCCGGAAAAGCCAATCAGCTGATTTCTTCAAGTACCTTGTAGAGCAGCAACAACGTTTGTTATTTGTTAGATACGTAATTAGATTGAAGAACTATGGTGCCTGGGGTTACCGAATTGGAGGACGTGGTCCCTGCCCCCTTAAAGCATTAAAAATCACACATTACTGAGTGTTAAGAGTTGGAGAGGAAGCATTAAGGGGGATGGCAGCTCACAAAGAGAAGCAAACCTGCTGTGTGTATCACCAAAGAATAGTAC